TCCTAATTGCCGCGACGGTGGATCCAGGTGGCAAAAAAGAAATGCAGGAAAGAACGATCACTGGAACGGTTCCGGCAAAAAGACTTGTTGCTTCGGGCGAGGGTCCGCCGCCGCCCCGATTGTGTAAATCTCCTCATTTGGAATGCGGTACATTATTCTCGAGGGGGCCCTAAGCAAGCAGCTTCTTTAACCGAGGGATTCGCTTCGTGACGGGCGAAATTTAATTGGTCTTCTTGCTGGCTGCGCCCTCTCGTGTCCACGAAATCCTTAATAATCCCGTGACGGGTCTCGGAATCGAAAACAACAGGTGAGCAGTGTGAAGACGTTCGAACAGGTGAAACCGCCATCGTCTCTCGTTATTTCGTTTCCTAACTGCAAATTAAAAGAATCCACCGATAAATACGAAATATGTTATGGAAATACAGATGGCGACATATTCGCGCAATTGATCGTTTCATCGTTACGATGTGTTACGATGTAAATGGAAATTGATAAAAATCGTTGATAAACAGTTAAGTAAATAAAGAATAATTATCGCGTGAAGATATCCTTAAAAATCCATCTAAGAAGCGATAAAAAATTAAAAGTTAAAAAGTTAAGCGATCAAACTTCACGAAGCCAAATTCCTTTAGAGGTTATAAATTATACTTATTAAAAGTTAATTGATTAACCTTTCCAAATTCTTTTAGAGGTTATAAATTATTCTTATTAATTACTTAAAGTGGAAACGAAATGTTTTCCCAAACAAGATATAATGCACTGACCTGTTCCATCCAAAAATAAATGACATGCATGCAACGATACGTGGGCAAATACATCGTCAATGCTACGTCCGTAAATACTTCAAATTGATTTATATAAGTTTTTTTCTTTCTTTACATTCAATTTTCCTTATCTCGTGTTGCGTTCAAGATCCGATTTCTCCTCTTCGTATTGTTACAGATTTCCGAGACACACATCCGCTTAGATTCCACGACTTTATCCAAACAAAGATGTCTCTTCACTCGAGGCTGACCGAAAGCGTTGCGCGCGCGCAGTCGCGATTGCGCCCGTGCCGAGGCGTGGACACATTGCGTTGGATACACTGTGTATCGGATAGATAGCGCAGCAGATGGACAACCTTGGATCAGGACTGTGGCCCGCGCATCTCATTGACACCGATAAACCATCGCTTTTTCTTCTTTGTCGGGCCGCTTTTCTTCTTTGGAATCGGACCTGTGTTCGATAATTGCTTGTTAGCATTATATTTATACGGTTGGTAAACACAAAGTATACCTCGATGAACATCTGACGACAAACACGTACAACATTTTATATTTTATTTGTTGGGGATATATCACCGGTTTAATTTCTTTCTTATTAATAATTTTCTGCGTTTAAAATGTACTCGTAAGTAATACGATGCATAAGCAGGTGGATTGAATTGGAATTATAAAATAACAAAGTCATTGAAATCAATTGTGAAAAGAAATTTACATATTTCAAGTGAAAATTTGAAACGTGTAAAAGGGAAGATAACAAGGATCGAGTTAAGTAGATAAGAATTTTTTTTATATATATATATATTAAAACAGGGAGCCTTGAGAGAAACAGGTCCTGCAAAGTAGAATCTACATAAGCGGTTGATTTGCTATTTTTTATATGGCGAGAATTATATCTGAAAAAAATTTTCAGATATTAAGTCATAAATGATTTTTACGTTCGGGATGCATTTTAGTTAATTTACGATCTCATGGCATATATATATAGAGAAGCTAAACAGGTTATTTAAAACAGGTAATTCTTTGTTATATCTTATTGAACAACAACGTCTAACAAACCTTGTAAACCTTGTTACACGACCTATGAAAATCCATATTAAGCAAACTGTGTAAATAATTGCATTAGCTGAATACACTAATACTTGAAGGCAAATATTTTTGATATTCTGTATTGATTAAAGACCACTGCAATTTCCATGTTCTCATAACATATTTTGTATCTTTTTAAACGAGTGTTACACTTGAATCAAATTCGTTTTTCGTTTTTTACATATCGATGAAATCCGTTCTAAAATATATCGAAAAGTTTACGTACGTGCACTTATATTGAATTTACTGTGTGTTTTTCATCTAATTAAAGTCAATGTTTATTTTACTTTAACAGAATTTAAAATATTGGAAATATCTTTAATTTGAAAATTACAATCGAAATTATCTTTTTTTTTTTTTTTTAATCTTAAAATACGTATGCCAACAAATTCATACAAATTCACAAAAATGTTACTTTTAAAATGTTCGTAAAATTAATCAAATATACAAAATTAATATTTCTACTTCGAAATTCAATAAAATTCTGCTTTTCTGAAGCGAAAAATATCATAGAAGATTAAACATACCTATCAAATTAAACCAATATTTTATATTTCGAGAATATTGTTTGTTCTAGAATCATAGAGGTATAAACAGTGGGAAACACTTTTAACATGGCCTTGAACGATCCGGCAAACTATGTAGAATAAGCAGTAGCTATTTTGCACTGCTGGAAGCAGTGCTGATTCTCCTCTTTAATCGATTCTACGTCCACGCAATGGATTCTCGACTTGTTTAAATATGGAGAACAAGAAGAAATTACAGGGAGGGGGTTGGGACAAGAAATATGATCGAGCGCTATGATAAACTCTTCCACAACCATTGAACGTACGTACGTACTCCTTCGTTCTGTCAGAGATTATATAGTCCCTTTCGATCAATGGTTTCACCCTGTCTATGCTTGAAACAGTTACAACGGATTAATACAAGACAGAGTTTCACCTCTTGCACGCATGCTTATTATAATGCTTCACGCTGACAGTGTACACTTATCTTATTAATAGAAGCGGAGGTGAACGAACGTTTTTCTTTCTTTTTTATTTTTTTTTTTTTTTGCATTCGATCGAATAACTTTCTATATATGCTCACAGATTTACCGTAATTTTTTTCGATCAAATGCATTCCACGAAACACGCAAAAACGTGTACAAAAAAAAAAACCTTAACAATTTTAATCGTTTAATTATAGAAGCAGGATGATTAAAACCTCGCAAAGGATAAACTCATCAGCCTAAAGCTACTCGTTTCAAAATTCCTAGTTAATATTATCCTCGTCAACAGTTGTACAACATGTATCGACGATTTCCTTTTGGTACGAAGCAAAACTGTCTATAAATTCAAAAACCTATCTACTAAACGTCCTCCGACACCCAAAAATCTCTCCTTTATCTCGTTAACTTCTATCTACCGTGCGCGCGCAAATACAATAATCGCACGCACGAGTATCCTCGAGTACGCAAAGAGTACTAAAAGGGAATCGCCACGAGCGATAGCCTCCCGTGGCGACAACGTTGTAGGCAGAGGCTATGATTGATATAAATTAGCGTTCACGATGCCACACACGTACGTATACACACATACACACACACACACACACAGATCCAAACGCAGGAGGAGACGAGCTCGATCATTTCTGCCCCGGCTGAACCCAGCTTCGATCCTCTCTCGCCTCTCTGGATCCACCACTCCCTCGATCGGTATCCATCGCGGCAGCTGCGCCTCCGCGTTGCAATTTCGGGATCTCAATTAACGATAATTGGCGGCTACCGTGGCCGGCCGAATCATTCGCATAAAATCGCTGTCCGTTTGCTCGATCAACGGCAACAACAGCCATTTCCTTTAAAACCTATATCGAGAGGGAGATTGGCAACAATGTTGATGTTTCAGGGTGGAACGATCGACCGCTTCGAAAGGTGGATAATACGATTGTAAATTGAGACGAGGCAAGGAATTTTATATATGCATTAAATTAGTCGATTGTTGATTATTATTATTAACCTCTGCTCAATTTATCCAAAAAAGAATCTACGAATTTTCTCAACGTATTTTCTGCATATCCAAAATCTAATCTGTTCGCTCTTTTCGAGCGAACCGGCAGTCGATTCGTGGCGAAAGGAACAAACGAACGGGCGATCCTCGGAACGAAGGGAATAACGAACGCAACGCAGCGTGTACAGGTATAGCAGGCCGCCTATACGATGCAGCAATCTAGCCGCGTTGATTAGAGTCGTATGTAGAATCGAGAACCGGATTCCAAGAACCTGTTTCCATGTTCACGTAAGATCCCCGGAGTAATCGACTGACGGATCGGCGACCGTTCGAGTCACCGACCCCGACCGACCGAGACGCCGCTCGCTCGATCCCTCCGCGCCGCCCACCGGCCTCGGTGATCGTCGACAGAGTCGTCGTCCCGACGACGGCCTGGGCCTCCTCTTCCTCCTTTGTGCGCGCATTCCTGCGGGACACCCGTTCCTTCCTATGTACGCGGAGTCTACGTACGTTCCACGTTCCATCTTCGACTCGAGAGATTTCTGTGTAGAGGTTTTACGAGAGTAAACGCTGTACGCTTGGTGTGAATATATGTGCTTGGGAGGAGGATAAGAGGTTGGAAGCGTTGGGTGGAAGCGTTTGGGGGTCGTTTTGAGGTTTTGTATAGAGGGAGGGATTGATGGAAGGGTGCTGACGGAAGGGTGATGGGGTTAGAGGTGTTTGGTTTTTCTTGGTTCGACGTTAGGAACCATGTTTGGATAACGTGTTTCTGCAATTTTTGGAATTTTTTCTCTTTGAAATTTTCAAACGTTTTCACGTGTTGTGAATGATGAAAGAAAAAAGAAAAGAGTATGTTGTATCTTGAGGTATAATAACGTTTGAAGTCTATCACGTTTTAAATCTCGTGAAAAAATCGATTCATGGAAACTGTCTGAAAAGAGTTGTGAAAGAAAAAGGAAAGAAGGAAGAAAAAAACGCGTTTGATCGCGTACGCGTTAATGAAAACGTGTTCCCTCGTAGATCTAAAAACAAAAATGGCCGTTCGAGAGGGCGCTCCAGTTCACTGGTCAATTTAACAAACGTCCACTTAAATGCGAAACGGAATCTACCCGTCCCCATCGAAGAACGTTGTCTCTTTTTGCGTCCGTTTCATTACACACGCGTTCGAAACGAGTGGTCTCCTGCAACAGACCGCTACCAACTAATAGATTTTCATTATTTTAAGCCGTAATATAATCCGCAATTACCGCCAGAGTCACGGCAGGTATACACGTATCTGCGACTACGTGCAAATATGTGGTGGCGAGCCGCTGCAGGCCGCTTTTCAAAAGGCGACACACTCGTCCCCTTGCAACCGGGCCTCCTCTATTAATAGTCCTTCGTTAAACGTATAATGCTTGAATTAACGGCCATTTCTGTCCCAAGTCCTGGCTTTATCATCCGCGATTTATGCAATGCTTCCCGCGGCTGCCTCAACAGGTTGGCTATCGGAGTATCCTTGGTGATTATAGTGTCTTTGATTGGGTTTATTTTTTTTTCTCTCTCTCTCTCTTCTCTTTTTATTTATTTATTTTTTTTATTTTTATGATAACTGAAGAGTTGTTTTACGTGTTTCAGTAATCGTGTCCGAGGTGTGAATTAGTGGCGAATATTGGTGCTTGTGTTACGTTATGTACCTCGGTTGTGATGAATTGACAGGAAACGGATTAATTGGATTCTTTGATATCTGGAGTTGATTGGAGCTTTTTCATGATCGTTGTGTCCATGTTTTCATTTGTTTGTTGGTTTTCCTTTTAAATTAATGCTTCGAAGAGGACGTAGAGGGTGATTTACAGGTTTGAAAGAACACTTTATTTATTTTAGGAAACTATTAATGTTTATCGAAATGATGAAGGATAGTTGCATAAATCTTTGAATATGATATTTCTTTGATTTCAGTTTCAGATAGATTTATAATGTGTACATTGAAATGAAGAGACGCAATACAATTGCAAATTAAAAATTATATTATTGAAATATAAAATTTGAATTTGAGATATTTTAGAGAATCATTTAATACATCATGTATAATTATGTATGCTCGAAGCTGATGACTTTGCAACAGCTTATAACTTTTTAGGTGAGGTTACATAACTTTTACAACTCATTCTAACATCATAAGCACTTATGCAATTATTAAAGGTGGTATTCAACGTTTGCAACTGCAAAAAAGACATTATTAGTTAATAATAACTTGTACAAACTTTTTATACAAGAATTCCCCGCTTATATAATCGGATTCCTAACAATACAACCCTTTAACATTTCCTCAATTAGTGATCAGGTAGAAATTACTTTGCTGATTTATTCACAAAAGTAAAAAAAAAAAAAAAATACC